TGTATTTCTTAATCCTTTTAAAAAAATATTTTTCTCATTTGTTAGTTGAATCTCTTACAAAATTAATATTTATTTAGCGTAAAATACCATAACATAACTTGTTCAAGTTCCTATAATTTAATATGATCGATTTTGCATCTGGTATGTGCAAAATTTGCAATTTACCAACAATTCAACATGGTAGAGATCTACCGACGTTAGCACTATCTCATTGAATCTCTGTTCATATACGTATATTTTAGGCAACAAGAAATTTTAAACCACATAAATTAATTCATTGAATATTTTAGATAATATTTTCTTTATTAATAATCCATTTTATATTCCCAATATTATCTGAAATTAATATTTTTTCATAAATGTTGTATATATATAGATGATACATTTTTTAATACGTTATATTACGATGTGCTCCGGCAAATAAATTCGGAGAATTTGACTAAAATAAACAAAAAATTCATCTTTTAGTTACTAGTTTACATTATCTCCTTGGAAATACATAAACTCCTTAGGTATGTAAACAGAGATCTCGGTGATTTTTCCATAATTTTATACATCCTTAGAAATCCTCTAATGTATGTTAAGCAACTCTTGCGATTCTACCTAAGTCTCCCTAATCGTGTTAAAACCACAACCCTTCAGTCGGAACTTCATCTTGGGGAACAGGAAGAAGTCGCAGAGATCGAGATCACGCGAATAGAAGATGGGGAATGACTGTTGTATTTTTGGAAGCCAGGATCAGCCGAACAAATAATGTGTATTCGGGCGCGTTATCGTATTACAGAAGCCAGTTGCTTTTCCTTTTGTCTGGACGTTTCCGTTACATGCTTCAAAACCTTACAGCAAAAATTTCCATTAACAGATTAATCAGGGAGGGTGAATTCTGTGTGGACAATGTCTTGGACGTCAAAATGGTGTTTGTCCGACGGTCATCTAGAACTCTCATTATCATCAACAGACGTTCGTCCGTCCACCAACTGCTTGGTATCACAAATAAGTTTTACTTCAACTCATAACCATTATCATCAAACCATTCCTTAACACATTCACTGCCACTATAAATTTAAAAAATTACCCTGGTGGATGAGACATAATTTTAATAAAAAGTAGTAAATACTTACTTAGCTAATTTCTTTAAGGTTGAAATCATTTTTTGTTTATATGTATCACAGTCATGACTCAGGTTTTAAGTTATGTTCTTTTTGTTATCAGATACATGAAAGGAGTAAAATAAAAACAATTTTAATACTATTTTTTAATTACAATATAAGCTTAACAAATATAAGTGTTATACTACAGACGACGTACTGGGTAGATTTAGCATCTTATGGGACTTTTTGTTCGGGACTTTGGTGCCGAGAAGACTCTGACCACTTTCGTGTCTCTCCCAACGTTACCGATTTAGTATAGAATAATATTACAATATTAACAGTGATTTTGTAATTAAACGTACCTATGAAATTACAAATAAGAAACTAACGTAATTGTTTAACAGTAAGTGATTCATCACATGCGCGTGTTGTACTGTTGTCCAAAGGTAGTGAACAGTTCTACTATATATGTAAATATTAATTAACATATAAATATTATACTTAATAAACATGTTTTATCACAATCTAAAATTATTAAACTTAAAATCTAGAATAGGATGTCGTAATTGGTTTATAAAAATAATTTACA